GAAGAAGCTATTCTTGCAAAAGAAAGTTACTATTTTTTATCACTCATCTGTCAGTGTAGGGAGTGTTTAAAGAAAAAAAAAGAGCTAGATTTATAGCCGGGTTGGTTCTGCCAGTTTATTGCCCCTACAAGCATTTTACTTTTAATCTAAATTTTGGTTCATGTCAATATAATGGGGAATAATAATGTCTACCTGTAAGGGCATATGAATTCAAGAAAATAATGTAAGGAAAATGATGAGCAGAGTGCCTGCATCACTAAGTTAAACACTAAATAAATATAGATTACTTCTTTTATTACTATTATGAAGTGGGGAAATCGGGTCCAGCTTGCACCATCTTGGTCACATGGTGGTAGGGTCTGGCATCTTGTCTTCATGGTGGGAGAAGGTGAAGCCACCATCTCCCAGGTGATGGGCGTGCCTGAATCCCTGAAGAAAGGGGCAGGGACTTGGCTGATAGGTTACTAAACCTGTCAGTCCAGTGCCTGGGACTAGAGTATCCTGTGACCCTGCCTCTGACCTGACCCTCTTTAGGCCCCAACCAACTCAGGTGCCATTATGCCATGCCATGTGTCCCCATGTTCATGTCCTATGTCCCGTCTCCTGGCTCTTCTTCAGTCACCATGGCATCACACTTCAGCTCTCCATTGGAGCTGACTTAGATTGTTGGTATTGTTTTTGTTCTTTCTTTCCTCTCTGGCCTTCATGACTCAGTTTGCTAACAGGGTTAAGTTTATTTGCTTGCTGCTGGTCTTTGAGATAGGAGTCCACCATGCAGTAGCCGGCTTTTTAATAAAGACTCCCAATTCGAACTTTCTAAGTGTGGTTTCTCTGTTTTTTCACTGTGCAAGTAGTAGTAGTAGTAGTGAGCAAAGTCCAGATAGGGTAGGGTTAAGCAATAGTCTGTACCAGATGGTGTTTATATCTCATATGCTCATTGTATGAACTCAAGCAAGTTACATAACTTCTTCGTACCTCAGTGTCCTCATCTGCAAAATGAATACCCATAGTATCCAGCCCATAGGTTTGCAAGACTAAGAACAGCACAGGTGCTGGAGCCAAGGGATGAGAGTTTACAAATAAGTAATTGGTTCATACCTGCAGTGACCATTGCACAAGTAGGAGGGAAGAAATTCAATTTCCAGTAATACACTGAAGACATGATTGAAAGCAGTTGAAATAAGGACTGCTAGGTGAATTCAATAAATTGTGTGAATCAAATTGCCAACTTCATTCATTTTCACTGTCTCAAATTTTTTTCCTTCCTGTTAGCTTGAGTTTTGAATAGGTATGCATTTTGTAAAGTGTATGTTCAGTAGAAGACAGTATTTCCTTCCAAAAAATGTGTGTGTGTGTCTGTGTGTCTGTGTGTGTGTCTGTGTTAGTGACTGTTTACCAGAAAATCGAAGTAGCTTCTCACTATCATGAAATGTATGAAAGACAAGAACTTGGTGTGTCAATATTGGTGAATGGAGGGCTGGGAAGGTGGCTCAGTGGTAGAGTGCTTGCTTTGCATGCATGAGGCCTTGGGTTCCATTCCTCAACACCACATAAGCAAAAAGAAAAAAAAAAGCCAGAAGTGGTGCTGTGGCTCAAGTGGTAGAGTGCTAGCCTTGAGCTGAAGAGCTGAGGGACAATGCCCAGGCCCAGAGTTCAGGCCCACAACCGGACTCCCAAAAAAAAAAAAAAAATATATATATATATATATATATATATATATATATATTGGTGAATGGAATTTATTGGAAAAGATATCATATTACAGATTTTTAAAGAGAAAATATCAAAGCCTTCAAATTATGTGTTGTGTCTTCAGACATAATACTGTTTGTCTGGCTATGTAATAGCCCTGTGTTGCCTAAATTCTCCCTTTATTTAAAGTATTATGAGAACAGGAAAGGTCAGAAATATGATTGTGCTGATGAGGAATTGTTTTACAGGACCAAAGCAAAGGGAGCCATGCAGAATTCTGGAAAAGCCCAAGGCAAACAGGCCTTTTCTCCATAAAAATAGTCACTGATCTCAGAGTTTCATGGTCATTACAGCATGTATCTGTGCTTTAGCATCATTTGAGTCAACACATGGTATGGAAACACTGTGTGGAGGCTTCATGTTCCTCAGGAAGAGAGAAGTAACACCTCCATTTCAGTTTCTCAAGCAGGGACATTGGCTAAATTTTTCTCCCGATGTAGTTTGAGCTTGGAAGCTTCAATACCATCTCAGTGGTTAGGGAGAGGAAGGTTAAATTCTGTGTGCAGGAAACAAATGTCAGGAAAGAGACATTGAGTTAGTTAGTTGCCAAAGAAACAGCACAACTAACTGACTAGTCAGGGGTTCCTCTTTAATCTCCCCATCTCTCCCCATCTTTCCCCTAACTCCAGTGTTGGGGAAGTCGAGGCAGTGCTGATACACCTCTGCTTCCAGATAATCACTGAGATCAAATTTGGCTGGCTTGTTAAATCTGGGAATAGAATAGTTTGGAAGGCTTTGTTATTGTTGAGTTTGTTGTCTTTTCCTGCTTCTCTGGCCATGTTGCCCTGAGCAATTAGTCCAGGCTTTTTTCATTACAGTTGTGCACTTGCGTGCTAACCTGATCATAGCTTCACATTCTCATGTACAAAACTTACTTTATTTCTCTGAACTGGTTTTCTCTTTCATAAAATGTAATGCCAGCAACAGTAGTCCTTGTCCTTCTTAAGAGACAACTACTCTTCTATTATCATTGAGTTCCTGAATTCCTTAGAGTTAATACAAGCTCAGCCTTGGTATTATAAGGCTCATGTGAAAATGTGTATGAATGATGGTCCTTAGCTGAAGCTGGTTCTTAGCAATCAATAAGAGTGCTGGAAACAAATGCATTCAAGTTTCCACCACCTAGGAAAATAATTAGGGGTGGGTTGTTTTAAAGTCTCCACTGGTTGAAGTACTGACTTTCCCACCCTGCCCCCAGGCATATGATCCTCCTTCTTTGAGGGTGCCTGCTGCTGTCATCTCAGTGACCTTCCTCTGTCACCTCTAATCACCTGAACCCATCTCTCTGCCCACTGCCCCCTCAGGAAATAAGAGCATGACTGTGATATATACAGGGGACTGACAAAAAAAGTTCACTATTCTGCTAGGCTTTGTGAAGAATCACATAGACATGAATTTCCTTACAAACTATGACTTGCAGACTAAAGCCCTAGAAGTGCCTTGCTCCTTCACTCTATTCTTTTTAAAAAATGGTTCATTCCTGTGTGTGCTCTCCTAGAGAGCTAGAGAAATGATGTGTAATGATGGCTGGCTGTTGCAGAGAAAATTCAAGTAACCAGAAAATTCCATTTTTAAACAATTTATCTAGCTTAACGAGTATTTATGAGGGACTGGCTAAGAATTGAGAGTTAGAAGTAGCCTAAAATCTAAGGTAAGTAAACTACCCAGGGCGTTGTTACTCTAAAGGAACCCAAGCTATAATGTATTCAGTACTTTCCATGAACCCAGTAAGTTGCTTTATGTGTAGTATTTCATTCCATCCCATTCCAATAAAGAGACTTACCATCATCACCACTGCCACCATTATCACAATCATCCTCATCATCATCCTCATCACCATTATCATCATCACCACATCATCACTATCTCCAGTATTAGCATCATCTTGTTTTCAAGCGACATGATCTTGTATAGATCCACCTACTTGCCTAACATAGACCCTAAACAGATAAAGAGATTCTAGAACCATTTGGCTATTTTCCAGCACTAGGAAAGCACATACGTAAAAGTGTGAGAAAAATGTTGCTGTTTTTAATGTATTGTGTGATTTTTTTGTTTCTTTTGTATGTTCTTCCCCATACGGTATATCCCCTGTAGTCACTGTATTTGATTCGGGTGCCCTGCGTTTGGAGAGGGGAAGGGGGAATAACAAAATGCTGGAAAAAGAGACACAGGATGACCCATTGCAACAATGATACTCACACAAGACACTATGTTGGCAATGAACTTTACATCTTCGGGAGGGGGAGGAAAAATGGGGGAGGAGGGGGGGAGGGACGAGATAGTAGGAGTAAAACAAAGGAGGGAGTAACAATGTTCAACAAGAAATGTACTCATTATCTTACTCATGTAACTGCAACTCCTCTGTACAGCATCTTTACAATAATATAAAATGTTTTTTTAAAAAAGTGTGAGGCACATAGCAAACACAGCATAATGGATAATAATAATGATAATAATGTGATAATGATAATTACATTTTGCATATATCATCTCATAGAAACAGCCATCTTGTTTTAGAGACAAGAAAACTGAGTCTCAGAAAGTTGTAAACATCATTAGTAAACATCAAAGCTGGTCAAACTCTTGTCATCTCATGTGATGCTTGTCACATGAGATCGTTTTCAGAGTTGTTATGAATAAGCTTATCCACAAATAGCCTTATATCTTTCTGGACTCAGATGAAACCTCTTTCCCCTGAGTTGCCCTGAACTGGAGAGTCCTCCAGTTCAAGTTCAACTTCTTGAAGAAGGAGACTCTCTGTCTCCTTTAGACATCTTTCCTCCTGGGAAGGAAGAAGGCACAAGCCCTCCAAAGCATTTCTCATCTCTTGAACACGGTAATCCCCCACATCCTGGCAGGAAATGTGAGTCCTCTCCAGCATCAGGGTTCATTTGGCCACCATGACTGAGGCAATCTGTGACTACATGGAAGGCCCTCACTCCCACCTCCCACGGATAGAGCAGCCCATGGCTATGGCTATTAACCTGAGCTCTAATGAGGGTAGTTTTTATAATAAGGGGAGAAATGTAATTCTAATTAGCAATTTCCCATCCTTTCCTCCATAGGTATCTCCCGGTCAAAACAATATGTTCTTCTCTTCATCTTGGCTACATTGCCAAAGTAAATAAATAACCATACTGTAAAACTAAGGAAAATGGCTAAGGAGACAGGGAGAAAGAAAGGAGATAGCAGAAAAGTTTTCTTTCTAACTGATGAACTGTGCTCTTCCTTGACTTGTTTCTTAGGTCCGCGGTGCTGCCATGGTTGGTTCTGACATGGTTGTGACTGTTGAGTTCACCAATCCTTTAGATGAAAGTTTGCAAAATGTCTGGATGCACTTGGAAGGTCCTGGAGTGATTAGACCTAAGAGGAAGATGTTCCGGTAAGTACTGAGAGGGAGCCGGGAAGGCAATGTGGGGCATGGAAGCTCTCTTTCTCTATCAGTTTTTTCCACTCATACATCTAATCCCCAATGAAAATGAGAAGCTGCTACCTCTTTATGGACAACTCCTGTGGGGCATAGAATAAAGGGTTGGATGACCAGCACTTCCATCACTGAATCTTCACACCGCCCTCAAAGAGATAAGATTCAATTATCAGCTTCGGAATTTGAAGCATTAGAGTTTATTTTACCCCTATGTTGTGCAGCTTATGTGAACAGAGTCACATAATCCCAGAACTAATCCCAGAACTTTTGTTCTGGTTAATACCATTCTACTTCCCTTATATATCAATCTACTAATATTCATTAAGTACCCACAATGTGTCAGGTGTAACACTAAAAGATGGCCACTTTTTTTAAGTTCTTTCTTTCCAACTCCACTTCTCAGATTTTACAACCCATTCACTATCTAGAACAGTTACTCTCAGTTGCTTTTCTTTCCTTTGAACTATATATAAAGAGACTTTCAGCTCCCTCCTTTTGAACTAAAAAGAGACTTGGCTCCATCCTAAGGACCAAAGACTACCTCAAACTCTGTAATAATATGAATAGAAGCCAACTACTGATGGCTCATACTTGTAATCCTAGCTATTCAAGAGGCTGAGATCTGAGGATATTGGTTCAAAGCCAGTCCAGGTAGAAAAGTCGGTGAGGCACTTATCTCTAATTAACCAGCAAAAAGCCCAAGCAGAGATGTGGCTCAAGTGGTACAGTACCAGCCTTAAGCAAAAAAGCAAAAAGTTCGAGAGTAAGCACAAAATGATGATGACAGCAACTCAATTTCTTCTATACATGGAACCATAAGATTCTACCCTACCATTTGCTTCTGTTGACAAAACATCACCCAATAAGTCAGCCCATTCTATGTTCAGGTAGCTGTAATTGTATGAAAATATGTCTTTTCTTTTTTTTTTTTGGGGGGGGGGTCTGGTCGTGGGGCCTGAACTCTGTGCCTGGGCACTGTCCCTCAGCTCTTCAGCTCAAGGCTAGCACTCTATCACTTGAGCCACAGCGCCACTTCTGGCTTTTTTCTTTATGTGGTGCTGAGGAATCAAACCCAGGGCCTCAGGCATGCAAGGCAAGTGCTCTACCACTGAGCCACCTTCACAGCCCCTGAAAATATGTCTTTTCTGCCTTTCTATCCTACTAGTGATCCTAATCCCTCATCTAGCTTTCACATAATAAAGCCCATCTCTCTTCCATCTGATGACTTGCATATGTTTGCAAACAGCTGTCTCATCTTTCTTGAGTCTTCTCTGTTTGGGACCAAATTCCTGCCCTGCCTTCATCTCTCTCACCTCTAATGTGGTTTCAGCTCCCTCCCTTTTCCACACACTCCAATTTGTCAGTGTTCCTCTTAAAGTGTGACACTCAGAATGGAGCCCAATCTTTGAGCTTTATTACTTTCATTTCTGCTGCAAATAAGTCCCTGTCAGCATCAATCAATCGAGCACATTTCTTTGGGATGACCTTCTAAGGAATAAAGGAAGTGGAGGACTTTGCAAACTGTCTTATGACCCACAATGTAAGGAATTTTCCCAGTGTCCTCTATGGAAGTTACCATAGGCTGTAAACTCTAGGACCGTGACAGGTTTCATTCACCTTCTGGGACATCTTTATTGCTCCCAAAGGGCTCTCAGTATTTCTTTCCAACTCTAGCACCCACAGCTTCTGCACTCCGTCTTTTAAGAAAATGCCTTATTGTATATGCAATACACAGCAGAGAAAATAATTTGAATGTTTTTTTAGAACAATTCAAACACAAGACATAGCCACCTCCCTGCTCTAATAAGAAATTTTCAGGAGGGAAAAAAGAATTAAATTAGAAATCAAGCCTAGCTAGAGGGAGAGGTCAGCAGTAATAGCCTTGCTTTCGTCAGAAATGACAGCCTCACTCACCCATTCTCACACCTTCCCACTCAAATCAGATGCAAGGATCACTCAGGCAAAGTGAAACATGTCTCCTCTTCCCAACCGCCCCCCCCCACTGTGTCTAATTTCTCCTTCTCAAACAGTAGCCTGGCAAACTTTTTCTGAGGGTACCAGAACCTTTATACCTTGATTATCCCACCTTGTCAAGGCCAATTCATCTGCTATAATTTAGTAAGTGATACCCAAAAAGTCCATATGTAAGAGCATGGTCTACAGGGTGGAAGCATTGGAGATGCTGTGGAATTTAAAGAGCTGGAGCCCACTAGGTCTTTAGGTCCTTGGGTATATGTCCTTGAAGAAGATTATGGAATTTTCTCTCTCCCTCTCTTTCCCTCTCTCTTTCTCCCTCCCCCCCTTCCCTTCCCACCCTTTCTGGCTTAAGAGGTGAGTGCTTGTTCCAACAGATGCTCCCACCATAATGTGCCACCCCTACTAAAGGCCCAACTCCACAGGGATGCCCAATTTTTTACTTTAATCTCTAAAGCTATAAGCTTTAGGGGGGTGGGGGAACTTCTTGTTACTTCATAAGTAATCTGTGTCAGACAGTTCATCATAGTGCTGAAAAATGGACTGATTCAGAATGAAAAGGTGCATTATGTGTTAGAACAGATGAAGAACATAGTGTGATGGCTCATCATACGGGAAACACAGGACTCAAAGTACATCAAGGGTCAAGATGTTTTGCTTATTGTTAAGATCTGACATTGAAGTGAGCAAAGTGGGATAAATCAGGGAAGGGATGGACCGGGCCATTTCCCCACATGGACATGAGGAAGATATCCCACCCACACCCTGGCTCCAGGTACTATTAGCACTTACTACTACTAATACATAGGTTTTGGGAAAATGGGTCACAGACAAGCAAGGGCCCCGATTTTGACAGTTCAGGCTTCTACAATAGAAATACCACTAGCGGGGTGGCTGAAATGATAGACCTTTATAGATCACATATCTGGAGCCTAGGAAGGCCAAGATCAAGGAACCCTCCAATTGGGTTCCTGCTGAGAGCTCTCTCCCTGGCTTGAGCACAGTCCTCTCCTCACCATGTCCTCACATGGCAGAGTTGGAGAGTGGGAAGGATCTCTCTGTTACTCTTCTTCTAAAGGCATGGATCCCATCATGATGACCTCATCCCCACTATCTCATCTTTCCCCCAAATTTCCTCTCTAAATATCACCACATGGGAAGTTAGGGCTTCCACATGAATTTTGGAAAGACAACAAAGGTTCAAACAGTAATACTTCTTAGTCTCTCTTGGGAACTCAGATCTACTATGGAATCTCCCCAAGGCAAAGAAAGATTTATTTCTCAGAGATGGCCAGAAATGGAGAGGGGGTAGGGGAAAGCATGGCATAGGAAACACATTTTATCTAGACTTGGCTTAGCTCTTTGGAGCAAACACTGCTTTCTGTTTCCTCTTGACTTTGGCACAGACCTTTATAACTGAGACCTGCGCCAGCCAGAGCCCACTTCCATATGGCCAGATAATTAGAAACACTCTACTGTGCCTAATGTTGCTGAGATCTGAACTAGCAGTGCCAGCTCCATGTAACAACTTAGACCCCCTAGAAAGTGCCTTTCTATAAAACCAACCAATCTATCCACCCATACATGCAGTCTTAGTAGCTTGTATCGAAAAGATAGGAGGTCTCAATCCTAAGGCAGAAGGCCTGGAAGGTAGTTGCTGGGGAACAAGAAATTGGAACCACACCTGTGGCAATGCTGTATCTTAGTCTTCATTCAGGTTGGAATCAATTGGACTCTGGAGTGGATTTTTCCCTCTCATCCCCCACTGCCTCCTTGCCTATCTCACATTCTCAAAGGCTCTGTTTCTACAGATTCTTAGCTTTTAAGTTTCTACAGCCTGATACTTCCAGAATATCAAAGAATTCCTCTTTCAGGCTCATTTTTCTACTTCTAAAAATAATCAGGTTCATTGAGTTATTTCAAGAGAACCCCCTCCCCCAAACTTTATGATTTGGGTTTAAACCTTCAATTTCTCAAGTAAGACAGAAACTAAGAGGCAGATACCCATACAACAAACACTAAGTCATTACAGTTTATTGTAATAATAATCCCATTTGCCAATGTGCATTCAAAATGATAGATGGCCAGTATCTCCCAATGACTCAGCACATTATTGAGAATCATTTATCACAACATCTGTCCCCAGTAAATAGGGTTATTTCAACATTTATTCCACTTACCAAAATGACAAAAAGCTTTTTCTCTCTTTCTGATATGCAATTTCCAGTATATAATAATGGCATCTTCATGTCTGAGCATTTTTGCTGGCCTCCAGCATCATCCAGCTTGTTTTAGGAATAAGCAATTGCTGAGACACAGCTCAAGATTTAGCTCCTGTTTGAGGCCATTTCTTATGCTCACACAGCTCAGATCCTCAGGCAGGATAACTTTCACAATGTGCTTTTGGTGGATCACATGGGAAGCCAGGGGAGAGAAAATGAAATGGATCTGAGTAAAAGAGCACAGCTGCTTTGAAATCAATGTCTTAGAACAGAATACAATCTGGAGTTCTTTTACAGAGAGAACCACAAGGGTGGAGGTGATAGTAATAATAGATATTAGCATTGCCATCATAATAATGCATCTTGAACTGCCAGTAAGGACAGTTACCAAAACTAACTACCCCTGACCCTCTTCTCCCCCATGTAATATTTAACAGTGTTCAACTTTTACAAGTGAAAAAGACCACATGAGATAAATGTTCTTCAAACTTTAATTATAAAATCAATTAACACAGCTTGAAATTTTAAGTTATGTTGTATGTGTGTGTGTGGTCTTTATTTTTTACATAATTCTAGCTACTCAGGAGGCTGAGATCTGGAAGATTCTAGTTGGAGACCAACCTGGGCAGAAAATTCCACTAACCTCCACATCCAAAATAATCAACTAAAGCAGAGCTGGAGGTGTGGCTCAAATGGTAGAGCACCAGCTGAGCAAGCATAGGTCCCTAAATTCAAACCCCAAGTGAAAAGAAGAACATTAACAAATACCAAATTGATTTGAATGTTTTAGATTTTTAGTATTGAAGTCAATGCCTGAATGCCCCTACAGAGAACTCCCAAGACTGTCTCATTGCCACAGAAAGGAGAGAGATGATTCCTTATTTAGTATCTGGATTTCTGAAATCTGGGCCTTTACTAAATTTTTTATTTTTATTTTTGCTGGTCCTGCTCAAGGGTACTACTTGAGCCACAGCTCTACTTTTGGCTGTTAGAGATAGGAATCTCATGGACTTTCCTGCTAGGACTGGCTTTGAATCTCAACCTCAGATCTCAGCCTCCTCACTAGCTAGTATTACAGGTGTAAGCCACTAGTGCCCAGACTTTTCATTATTCTTTCTTGACTCCAGTTGTCCCTACTGTCTCAGTTGCTTTAGCATGCTCCTGCATCCTGGATGCTGGTGGGGGCAGTAGGATTCTTGTCTGCCTCAGCCATTTATATCAGCCCTGTAATCTTCAAGAAGCTTATTTGTGTCTTCAAAATTCCCTTTTCTTACCTGTAATCTGGGGAATTAGAAAGCCTTCTTTATTGAATGAGTTGAGGAAATGCAATGCTATCCCTTACCTTGCTAATTCTCTTTTCCTGCTTGAGTCTCATTCTTTACCTTTCTATTTACCTGAATACAACCCCCTTGGAAAGATCTAGGAAGCCCTGGTCTCTCATGTTCCTAAACAACGTTTATTTTAACTCAACCACACTGGTTGAAAGGTTAAAGTTTGAGGCAGTGACCACCACGTGTTGCTTGTTTCTGTCTAGCAAAGCAACACGTGGTAATAATCAAAACACCTGGTTGATTGTGTGCCTATATAAGACCTGCAAATCCTTAGCTCGGGGTTCTCCTCTTAGGCTCCGCTGTGTTGGAGTGTAGGACGAGGCCCGAGCTGCAGCCCATTTAAATAAAACAGCTGTAGAGTCTGACTCTCAGTGGTCTTCTTGTGGGGGGTCCTGTGACCTTGGCATAACATGGTGTGGTGCAGATCCTAGCCATACTCCAGGTCCACTTACCACTAGGGGAAGAAACATGACACAGAATCTAGCCTACTCACTATTTGCACAATTGTTACTCTCAGTCCTAAATTATCAGATTTGCCCATCTATAACTAAGACATCCATGTGGTAATGTGCCCTTCTGACTGCAAGTTCAATGTAGCCCAAGGATGACCCTTGCTTCATCATCATGACACCATGATCCAGTAATATTTCACCATACAAATTCCTCTGATGAGAGTTGTAGACAAGCAACTGAGCCTTTCCTCATGGTTATGGAAGTAAACAAAGGATCTAGTACAACTAAAATGACTGTTGATATCTTCTAAGGATCCCTCCATGCCACACCCTGACCTTTGTTTGGCTCTTTGGATCATTTCATTTGAGTCTCTTAGGAGTTCTGTGGGGGTAACACAGCATAATTCCAATTTCACAGGTGGGAACTCTGAGGCTTAGAACAATAACCTGAAATTATACAACTAAAAAGTAAGAGAATCAGGTTTTAAGCTCCAGAGCCCATGGCACTTGTAAACCACTAAACAACATTTCGTTTTATTGACCCCAGGCACCAGTGATGTCTGGTCTCTTTGAATGGGTGTATCCATTCCCATTTGTCTGTCTCCCTTATAGCTCCAACTGACAACTCTAACTCTGAAATAAATCCCACATGTAATAGTGTTCAATAGTGTTCATAAAAATATCTTGACTTGATATTCTTCATTACATAACGATCAAATACCTCCATCTTTCTGAATTCTAAGTTAGGAAGCTTGCTGGAGTATTTACAGAGGCTTTGGGTCTCCAAACTCACTGGAAGTCAAATTCAGTAAATAATCCACTTTGGTGACCTTGTAGGGACTTTGAGAATCAGCTGTATCTGTGTCATATTTGGAGCAAGTTCTACACTGTGGAGAAGCACATGGTGCAGACTGTGCTCTGGTCTTTTGGTGGAAGCAGCCAGTTCTTTGTTGAAGCAAATCATTTTCCATCCTTCACTTTGCTTCCTGATTTTCAAGCTTTCATGAAATCCACAATAGCATAATCTCTTCTACTAGCAGGAGTAGAGAAATAGCACACAATTGGTTCTAATCTCTTCTACGGTTAGGCGGCAGGAGGGTCTGTGACCTTGGAGATTCTCTAGACTCCATCAGACTTTAGTCTCCTCATCTGTAAAATATGATGTTGGACTAAGTCATTTTTTTCTTTTAATCCATATAATTTTCATGAATGGGCAGTTTTGAATTGGATGCTAGCAGAGTGAAAATCTTGTTGGTTGGTCCAACAGCCACACATGGTTACCACTGCTGACACAGCTATGTTCCAGCCTCTGTGCTCAGCAAAACCTTCACTTTCAGACTTTAAAAAATTAGATTAAGCATTTTTAAGAATTACAAATGAACACCATGTGCTCTATAATTTAGGCAATAGCTAAAATTAATGAAAAAGACAAATAATACCCCTTGCCCCTCCAAGCTCACTAGGAAATAACAGTATGGGAAGATGCAAATCTTAGCAATGTATACTTAACAGTAAGGAATAGGACAGTGGTGGGATCTACCTTACTCACTGTTGATTAATCCCTGATAGGTGCCCAGTATTTGTCAACCAAATTAATGATTAAATAATAGTCAAACATTAGGACTCATTTATAGATTTGTGTGTGTGTGTGTGTGTGTGTGTGTGTGTGAATGGGGGAGGGGAGTACTGGAAGCCACAGCTCTGCATTTGGCTTTCAGGTGGCTATTTGGAAATAAGAGTCTCATGGATAGACAAATCATTTCTAAAACATTTTTTGATTCTAATATGCTGTGACTACATAATTCCATACAAAGTCATATATATAGTCATATATATATATATATATATATATATCCCTATACAAGGAATATATATAAAATGTATATGGGATACATATATGTATACCCAGATAGATAGATAGATAGATAATGTGCCATTTTTGTCAGTCTTGGGGCTTGATCTCAGGGCCTGGGCACTGTCCCTGAGCTTCTTTTACTCAAGGCTAGCACTCTACCACTTGAGCCACAGCACCACTTCTGGCTTTTTCTGTGTATATGGTACTGAGGAATTGAACCCAGGGCTTCATGCATGCTAGCCAAGCACTCTATCACTAAGCCACATTCCTAGCCCTTTATGTATCATTTCAAGACACTTGTGGTGACCATAATTTGACTTTCTTCTGTTCTCACAGAAAAAAGTTCTGTGCCAAGGTCTAAGCCAGACCACTCAGTGTAAACCATGCATATCATACATGCTATGCACTAAGAACCAAAACCAAGACTCGTGCAGGAATTTTTCAATACTGAGCCAATGGGCCTTGTCTTTTTTTGAGAAATAAAGCCTGTGAAACAGTGGGGATGGCTGTCATAAATGCACCTGTTGCAGAATATAGCATAAAACTCATTGTTCATTCAGAGAGCAGGGATTTGAAGCTCAGATTAGCCCATTTACTAACTGGATAACTGGTCTACATCTAACCTTCCAGATATGGAAAAGTAGCCTAAAGAATGGACACAAGTATGAACATTCACATTGTCTGCCCCCATGCTTCAATGGAAGGATGTATGAAAGCTCTGCAAAGAAGTCTAAACCTAAATTTCTAATGTCCTGATTGATGTCCATTATGTTCTGGAGTAGGCTTAGGAAGAGCTCAGAGCATGCATTATCTATTATCAGGATAGTTCCAGGCATTGGCAACAAATAAGTAGCAGCAAGATTCATAGGTAAGGGAAACCCAATTTGGTAAATAAGAGCAGGAAGACACTCAAAATCAGAAGGCAGCAGGCAGATCATGTCCAGATGTGGGTCTATGGAATAAGTTCCATCCCATGGGGCTTGGCAAAAATGAATTACAATGTTAGGGCCTCGGCAAAGTCATCTGAGGCTTCAATAGAACTTTAATCCAGAAAGGAACAAGAAGACCAAAAGATGAGTCAAGACATGTCACATCAACATGGATACTGTGGAGTTAGAGGAGTTATTTTATTGGCTCAGTCCTGGGCAGGCTAGCTTATCAACTGGGGCCAGTGAATGCATCCAAGGGGAAGGATCATAGCCCACTCAAACTGTTGATAACCAACCCTACAGTGCCTCATTGACAGACCTTACCTGACAGGCAACCAGGCCCTTCAGTTCTCTGGATATCACCATCAGCTTGGAGAAAGAGGGCCAATGCCAGGCTTCTCATTGTGTCTTCATCAAGGTAAGAAAATGGATCAGCCAACCTCTCCTCTCTTTTCTGTCATTTCAGTGAAATCCAGCCCAACTCCACTGTGCAGTGGGAAGAATTGTGTCGGCCTTGGGTCTCTGGCCATCGGAAGTTGATAGCCAGCATGACCAGTGACTCCCTGAGACATGTATATGGCGAGTTGGACTTGGAGATTCAAAGACGACCTTCCATTTAAATGTTCAGGAGGCTGAGATGGATCTAGGCCTTTTGGCTAAGGAAGTTCTAGTGCAAAAAGCAAAAGCTGTTAATGCTCTTACTTTAACTTAGATGCTACTGGAGAGGGTCCCAGCATACAGATGTTTGTCAAAGTGATGCTTTTCATGCCCTTGCTATTTGCATGGAAGTTAGTTTTGAATCACTCCCCTTTCCAAAGGTTTCTGAACATTTGCCTTAACTAAACTCTAATTAAGCTCTTATAGCTCATAAGAAGAAAAGACATCATTTATCATTGCAAATGGTTCCTGATTCAAATATCAGAGGGTTTCCCTTAACAGTGGGATGTGCTCAGTACCTGGTCCTATTAAAAACTTTTGATTCCACATTCAATTGGAGGGGGGGTAATATATTCCCCCAAAGGAAGGGTATGATTGGACCTTAGAGTTCTCCCTTTTCTTGGGATCAAGTTCTAACGTCCATGGTAGAATTTTTCCCTAGGAATTCAGCACAACATCATTTTTCTTCTTGGCAAAGCAAAGGAAAGGTCTTTCATCTTCCACCTGCAGCCAAGCAACTGCCTGCCAAATTTCACAGATTAGCTAGTGAGAAAATGTGGCCCCACATTAACAAATTGCATTTGTGGAAAACTTAATCACCTAGGAGGAGATAAGAAACCAGGTGCAATAACTCAGATATATTAAATATTGTAGTTATGTGGTATATTTTGTAGGTGTCACAGTGTGACCTGATCAGCAGGAATGAATATCCCTTACTTTAACCCTTTCTGGAAGGCAAAACTAGAAAGTGACAAGGCTGATTTAGAACTGGCAGAAAGGATTGGTCTCTTTCATCAGTGTTTATACTCTCTCTCTCTGGGATCACCAGGTCTTTTTTTTAGAGGCAGAATAAACCCAATAAGTTGGAGAAATGAGCAGATATAGTGGCTAGATATGCAGAAAGACAGTCAGCTTCATTATCTCCTTTTCTTTAGATTGCCTATCAAGACTATACCTCAACACTCTGGTGTTAAAAAATAAGATCTCTTGCAAATAGCCAGCGCTATGTATGACCCAAGAGCAGAGGATACTACTATCCTGTGTATTGTGTTCTAAGGGTCCAACAGACAAGACTATTAGTATTTAATTGCAAAGCAGATTTAAAGTCAGAATCTCCATTCTAATACTCTGGGTATGATTTGGATCAAGGTACTAAGATTCTCAGAAAAAAACTGAAGGAAGCTGGGGGAGGGGGAAGCAGCAGCAGAAATGCAATGCTATACTCTATGTAACTATGCTCTGGTCTATTTCCAAGTCTGAAACTGTTCCTGGGCCTACAGGGCCAACCCCTGAGGGTTAGCAGATACCTGTTATGATACATCACACCTAACTCCTGCAGTCATCTCCCAGCATTTGCCAAGCTTTTCAATAAGTAGTTTTAGAATGAAATGCAGTTTACTATACTGTTAACTGGCTTAATTACTATACTATTATTAAATAAGAATGTAATGCTTAAAATAAAATTCATCTGCATAGAAATGATTATTGTTAATTGTCAATTCTATACACAACTAACCACAACTACTAGAGAACCCATAGTCCTTCTGCCACAAGAAAACTACCTCCAGATAGGGAGACATGCATTTGTCCTTTAAAAGAAACAATTCTAATAAGTATTCTCCTCACCTCTTCTCTGCATTTTATAGACCACATTCACTCAAGGAGGCAATTTGGAGACTTAAAACCTACTGAAAAGTTTCTGTCCGTAGGAGCTTCCTCATAAGCAACCTCTTGAACCACTATGCTGACTCAGTAAACAGCCAGCAGAGACATTTCTCATCATTATCACCTGTTACAGTCTTAGAGTGGGAGGGCAAAGAAGGCAAAGTATGCACAGGAGATTTATTCTCGTGGCAGGTCTCACTGGACAATTGCAACTCAGATAGGGCTTCAGAATCCCTCTCATCTCTAGGTAGCAACTGCCAACTGAATTGGAGTTGACACTCAAGATAAAGGCCCATCATCCTTGACAGCTATGGTTCCATATTGGCTTTTACTCTTTAACATCTTCATCAGCATGTGCTAATTGTACAAGGGAAGTTCACTATTGTGTTTGCCCTCATGAAAACATTGGAGCCTCATCACATTCACCCTCTCTATCACTTTCCCTCATTCCCTTCTTAAAACTAGACACAGAAATACCCTAACCCAGAGGCTGGGAAGGTGGCTCAGTGATAGAGCGCTTGCCTTGCATGCCTGAGGCCGTGGGTTCGATTCCTCAGCACCATATAAGAAAAAAGCCAGAAGTGGCGCTGTGGCTCAGGTGGTAGAGCGCTAGCCTTGAGCTGAGGAGCTGAGGGACAGCGCCCAGGCCTAGAGTTCAGGCCCCACGACCGGACCCCCCCAAAAAAAGACACACCCTAGCCCAGCAATACCACTCTTAGACATTTATTCAAAAGAACACAAATTGGGGTACAGTAAAGCCACCTGTACAATCATGCTCATTGCTATACTATTCATCAGAGCCATGGTATGGAAACAGCTTAGATGCCCCTCAATGGACAAATGGATCAAGAAAATGTGGTGTGTGTGTGTGTATATGTATATGTATATGTATATATATATATATATATATATATATATATGCAAAGGAATTTTACTCACTCATTAGGAAGAGTGAGATTATAACATCTGCAACGAAATGGATGAACCTGGAAAAGAAGTTAAGTGAAATAAATTAGGCCCAGAGAGACAAAGGACTCATGTCTTCTTTCATAGGTGAAAGTTAGATATAATTTATAAATATACAACTAAACATATCTGGGGTTTGTATGCAAGTGTGCAAAAACATATTAAATGAAATTGGTATTTGCAGGGAAGAATTCAATGGTGTAATTTCTTAGCGAAATGAACTCACAGTCCAACAAAATGAGTATCAGGATACTGGCACTTGAAAATATGGAGGAGGAGGTCAAGAAGAGGAGGGTAGATGATGAAGAGAAGAATGGAAGGAGAATGCAATCATAATATTTAATACATACTCTATAAAACTAAGAAAATTGAGAGATTGTGTTGGAAAATGAGGAAAGGGGTGACATTGGTCAAGATGCATTATATTTATACACTGAGATGTTGAATGGGAATTAACTTAAAATTTTAAAAATAGCCGAGCGCCGGTGGCTCATGCCTGTAATCCTAGCTACTCAGGAGGCTGAGATCTGAGGATCATGGTTCAAAGCCAGCCCGGGCAGGAAACTCTGTGAAACTCTTTTCTCCAGTAAACCATCAGAAAACCAGAAGTGGCGCTGTAGCTCAAGTGGTAGAGCACTAGCCTTGACCTGAAGAGCTGAGGGACAGCACTCAGGCCCAGAGTTCAAGCCCCATGACCAACAAAAATAAATAAATAAATAAACAAACAATAAATAAGTTAGTGAGTTTCATTATTCTGTTTTTCATACTTACATATAAAATGCTTTGATCATATGCATCCACATTCACTGTGTCCATTCATCCTCCTCCACTCCCGCTGGTACCCACCTCTCAACACAATCTGTTTACATTTCTGTCATCCATTTTAGTGGATATTAATACTGCTATGATTTGTATCTTAAGCATCCCCCAAAGGCCCATGTATTAAAGGCTTAGTCCTCTGGTTGGTATTATTGGGAAATGGTAGGTCTTTGTAGAGGTGGAGCCCAAGGACAGTTCTCCAGGTCACTGAAGAAGACAGTGATACGCAGCCCTTTTCTCTTTCTCTTTTTTATTTCCTGGCTATGAGGTGAGCAGCTTTCCTCTACTATACTCTATAAGCTGCCAAAGTAATAGGACCAATCAACAATGAAATTAGACCTCCAAAATATGAGCTGAAGTAAACTTTTTCTCTTTTTAAAATGATTTAAAATAATTTAACCAGACTAACACGAGTGTTGTGGCTGTAAAAATCTTTTTTTTTCAGTAGCAAGCAATCAATCTGAGCTTGAGGACTATGAGTTCTAACTTCTGCCTGTGCTAATCCTTGATACTTTTCAACAAAATCTTAATCTTTGTGTTTAGAGCTCCAAGGCACTAAGGGAGACAAAACAATAAGTTTCCACAACGTTCTTGTAGTAGATATATCTAATAAAACTTAACAGCAACCTATATAACATAGAGATAGACGGATAGACAGGCAGGCAGGCAGGCAGACAGACAGATGAAAGATGATGAGGTAGATGCTACCTGTTGTTTTTTACAAATAATTACAACTCACAAACCTTGTAAAGGGAGTAAATACAATTCATTCTAACCTGCTAATGAAGAATTTGTTAGGCCCAAGAAGCCAAGTATCAGAAAAAATCAAGCTGTAAGAGGTAGCATTGTGAAAACAAACTCTGCTTTCAGAATAACCATTTGCTGCACTCTTTAATCTCATCTCCTTAGAGTTTTAGAAATGCTGACTTAAGAGCAACTTCAGAACTCTTTGAAGAACTGCAACATAGCACAATTAAAATATATATATACATTGCTAATAGTAATGTAAGGGGTAGAATTGTGTTATACTCACCGGCAATCAAGTATCATAAAGTCCCAGATAGGTCAACATTGATGAACATTCATTCCATGTCATTAGGAAATTAATAGCCAATCAACCTAATCAACCTCCGTTCACTTTTTCTACCATCTAGCTATTCCCCTAGCATCCAACCAACTATACATCCTTATAACTGTTGATTCTTTAGGGCAGTCATCCATCCCTGTATATACCAGCATCATTCCAGAGCCTTGTTTGTCTATAGTCCCTGCCTAGAAACACACCCTAGGCAGAGACAAATCTTTCTATGCAGGAATATAAAGACACAAAGTATACCTAGAGCACCAAATAAATAAAGAAGAAAAACCTGCCTGATGAAATCTCCTGTGACATCTTGGAAAATGAGTCCTTTCCATTGAAAACTTCAAAGAGATGCTGAATCTTCTGCCACCTCCACAACTCAACTCCTCAGGGAGCTGAAGCACTAGATATTGGTCAAATGATCCAATCATGAATCCAGGTTCCATTTTTTCTCCTCGAATTATTCAGAAGTGCTTTGACTTACATGGAGGTTACAAAGATTTAACTCTAAGAAATAGAAAATAATTTATTTTTATTAGTTATACAAATAATGCTCCTTATCCAAAAAGCTTGAACATGAAATGTTTCAAATTTTAGATTTTTCAGATTTTGGGGAATATATATATATATATATATATATATATATATATATAGAGAGAGAGAGAGAGAGAGAGAGAGAGAGAGAGAGAGAGGGGGGGTGGAGACATCTGTTGGGAGTGTGACCCAAGTCTAAATCCATTTATATTTGATGTACACCTTACAGACATGCACTGAAAGTAATTTTATTTTGTGTTTTTAAATAATTGTGCACATATAGCAAATGGATTGGGTTTTTGGATGGAGGGAATAGTAGAGATCAAACCTAGAGCCTCATACATATAAATCTTGCACTCCACCCCTGAGATATACCCTCAAAGTTTCATGGTATAGAATTTCTCACCTGTGATGTTATGTTAGCAAAATCCTTCAGATTTTGGAACATTTCAACCTTTGTATATTTGAATTCATAATACTCAATCAATGACAAAAACCTAGAAATTATAATCACTGTAAGAAAGAAGCCCTGGAATGGCCCACATGAGAAGTTTCTGATAAAGGTGACTCAGAAAAAAAGCCATGAGTGTAGAAAGTCCATCACACTCTTGCCATGACTGACACAGTGTGTGAAAGATGTCCTCAGCAATCACTGGTGGTTGTGTGAGCCAGTCATTCCCTGCTCAGCCTCCATATACCAGGCCTTTATACTATCACTGGCTCCATGTTCCTGTGCAGACCCATTCATCAGAGCACCTCTATGGCCCCCAGAAGGTTCCTCTCAAGTGATGTCCCTAAGATCCTTGACTGAAGCACAGGAGCTCACCTCTCTGGTATACTCTCCTATTCTCTCCTATGTTCATCAGCACAGAATGAGGAGGAACCCCCAATCTGCTATTCTATAACTCTGTCCTCAAGAGAAATGGTTGAATTGAGTAGAAGAGGTCTTTGTATAATGAGCCATAGCACTTAATATGGCCTCTGAATGGTTTCCTTACCGCAATGAATTCTTTATTCTCTTACCTTTAATGACATGCTTTCATTCACTTATCCATTGCTGTTCTGATGCTAGTTGCCTTTGTCTGATACTATCCATGTTTCAAATGTGGACAATTAAATATCTCAATCCTTATAGATGACAAGCATTTTCCTGACCAAACCAAGCCCTTGAATGCTGAAGTTATCAAGGTCATGGCATCCTATTACCCAGATTGCAGTGAAACTACTTGAGTATTATCCTAGACCCCAGGCTGAACTCATGAGTGACTATAACTGTGAGTTTAGAAATTATAGCTCCAATAAAGGAATCTGCTTTTTTGCTGATCATTACAAAGAAGTGCTGGGTATCTTCAGTAATATCCCAATTAGCTTTATTCACTGGGCAAGCTAAAAACCAATAT